TGGGCAACTTGGTGAGACCTCATCTCTACAACAAATAAAAAAATTAGCTGGGTGTGGTAGTGCGCGCCTGTAGTTCCAGCTACTTGGAAGGTTGAGGTGGAAGGATCGCCGGAGCCCAGCAGGTATGGGCGACAGAGTGAGACTCCAACTAAAAAAAAAAAAAAAAAAAAGGAAGGAAACTCTAACACATACTACAATGTGGATGAACCTCAAAGACATGGTAAGTGAAATAAATCTGTCACAAAAGGAAAAATATTGTATGATTCCATTTATATAAGGTATCTAGAATAGTCAAATTTATAGACAGGTCAGAGTGGCTCACACCTGTAAACCCTGCACTTTGGGAGGCAGAGGCAAAAGGATTGCCCGAGTCCAGGGGTTTGAGACCTCATCTCTACAATAAGTATATTCACGCCTGGGCAATTTGTTGAGACCTCATCTCTACAATAAATTAAAAATTAACTAGGCCTGGTGGCACACACCTGTAGTTCCAGCTACTTGAAAGGCTGAGGTGGAAAGATCACCTGAGTCCACCAGACTGAGGATGCAGTGGCTGTGAGCATGCCACAGCACTCCAGCCTGGGCAACAGAGTGAGACTCCAACACAAAAAGAAAAAAAAATTCATAGAGATGGAAAGAAGAATAGTAGTTACTAGGGGCTCAGGGGAGGAGGGAATGGGGCGTTTTTTGTTTTGCTTTATTTTATTTTTTATTTTTATTTTTATTTTTTTTGAGTTGGAGTCTCACTCTGTCCCCCAGACTGGAGTGCAGTGGCCGCTCCCGGCCACCACAGCCTCGACCTGCTGGACTCTGGCGATCCTTCCACCACAGCCTTCCAAGTAGCCGGTATTACAGGCATGTGCTACCATGCCCGGCTGATTTTTTGATTTATCATAGAGATGAGGTCTCGCTGCCCAGGTGCATCTCGAACCTGCGGGCTCAGGCAATCCACTCACCTCAGCCTCCCAAGGTGCGGGATTACAGGGAGCCACCGATTGGACTCAGAGGAAACGCCCATAAGCCCTCACAATCTCCTACGTGGTTGATCTTACCTTGCATTACTGGTCCCCTTAGTCATTTTGCTCTAGAAACATTGACTGCTTTGATGTTCCCTGAAAATTCTTGGTACTTTCCTGCCTTGAAACCTTTGAACTTGCTGTTCCTTCTGTTTAGAATGTTCTTACCCGAAATATTCATGTGCTTCTAACTTGTACCTCTTTCAGATCTTTAATATAATTTGTTACTCACCCTGACTACTTGTTTAAAATTGCAGCTTTTGCCGGGCTCGGTGGCTCAGCCTGTAATCCCAGCGCTTTGGGAGGCTGAGGTGAGTGGACTGCCTGAGCCGGCAGGCTCGAGACTTGCCTGGGCAACTTGGCGAGACCTCATCTCTACAATGAAATCAAAAAATCAGGTGGGTGTGGTAGCGTGCGCCTGTTTTT